GATGTATGGTCCTCTTCGCCCTTTGTGGTGTATGAGATATGAAAGCAAGCACCAATATTTCAAAAATATTGCCAGTAAATGTAGGAACTTTGTAAACATAACTCTGACTCTCAGCAACCGTCATCAAATGAAGCAATGCTGGGAGTTTTCTTCACATAGGTTCCTAGGTGACTTTGAAAATGCACTCAGCAAAAGCATTAGTATGCCATTTTCATCTCTGCCACGTGATTTACAGAACTCTCTGAAATTAAACCAACGTTTTAAAGATGTGCAGTTTCAGGATAAAGTGCTTCAGCGTGTTTCATCTTTATCTGTCAATGGTGTCAAATATGGCCTTGAGGATGTTTTTGTAGTAGGTCATGTACACACTGAAGCCATCCCTTTATTCTTGAAAATTAAGTACATTCTGAACGTTGAGACTTTTTGGGTGTTGTGTGGGAAACTGTTACTGCCTTGCTCTTATGACAATCACTTCCATGCTTACCACGTCAAAGTTGACAATGACTGGATTTTACTCAGTCCAGGAAATGAGTTGGACCATCAAGCTCTCGACACATATTTAGTCGATGATAGACTGTATGTTTCCTTGAAGTATTCTGTGTAAGTATGTTCTATCTAAATGTGTGTTACTTTTTGAAGTATTCTGCCTCATGTTAATGTGACTGCAATCTTTACATATTGTAATGTTATGCATTGCCATTGATTAATTGTGTATGTAGCTATATAGAATTGAATGAATTGAGATTTTTACACTACAAATGCTGCCATGTTTCTCAAACATACATTTTCATTGATGTTAATAAATGGTAAAGAAGCAATTATTGTGTGGTACATTTTTGTCTCCTTAAAGTCCAGAATAGCTTGTCACTGGGGGGTACCCTTTTAAAGTACAGGAAAGTACCCTTTCAATGAGGCATTGCTGTACCTTTATAGATTAAAGGTACATTTATGTCTTGCAGGGTACACAACTGTACTTGAACTGGTACAATTTGATAAGGTACATAAATGGACCAGGACTGAAAGGTACACAATTGTCTCTCAAAAGGGTACCTCCCCTGCGACAAGCATTTGTACCGATTTAGGTACAAACTGGTACCTCTATTTTTGAGTGTGTAGAGGAAGACAGGGAGCCCGAAATCCACTGTAGCGACAATGGAGACTCATCTGTAGACATTACACACTGCTAGACAACACGAAGTCATGTAGAAAAGTAGTATGATCAATATTCAACAATAATAAAATATCAGCCAGAAAACAAATCAGACGCTGGTTTGATGTGATGAAAATCAAAGTGGAAAAGATCAGTTGTTTGAACTTGAATCGTCTTTCCGCAGCAAGGCGCCGCGTGCAGATTGTCCGGGGCCTGCGAGCCGTTAGCTGCATAAATCACTGATCAATAAACGGATAGCACTTTATCCGGTTAACTCCCAGCACTGGCTCCAGACTAAACCGGGGGTAGCACCGTTTGTTTGTTTGTTTCCTCCTTTTGACATTTTACCTTCCTCGCAGGGTGTCCATCCTGTTTAACTGTTGTCACGGAAACCAGGCGGAAAATGAGCCGCATGTTTTATTGGGCTGTTCCTGAACACAACGAGGAACCGTGCTGGATGTACACTGAAAACATCTCAATGTTTCACACCGTATTCTGTGAGTACGGTGCAAAAACCTCAGGATATTTTACCTGAGCTGCATTTAAATCCCACATACGAGGGGCCAGCAGGATCCGTTCCAATCTCACCTGTACGCGTTGCTGATTATGCATCGTGGATTCCCAGACGGTTCCCCTGTCACTCTCCATTTACAAAGCTCACTTTTACACAGGAACAGAAGAGGCATCGCAGACATATTTTCTGCACTGAATATCCGCCTCCGTCCTGCGTCCTCCTCGTCCATGATGAGGGTTAAAAGCTGCAGGCCCGCTGGCTCGCTCCCTGTTAAAAATGCATGGAGTGTAATGACACGGCGGTAAAGCACTCGGGATACCGAACCTGCACCGCACAGGCTTCCCACGCCGGTTATATGTGCACAACGCGCAGGCCCTTTTCAGGGCGTTCCGATCCTTCAGACTCACTCCTCGCATCGTCGTCTTGTTTTTGTGGAAAAACGGAAAAAATGCCAGCGCGGCTAACGGGCATCTGTTTGCGTGGATGAGATCGGCGCAAAGTGCAACAGTCAGCGTCGCTTAAGGAATCGCTTCACATTCGACTCAATCGAAAAGACAGCCAGAGGACGGCGGCTGCCCACGTGCCCACCGACAGAGCCGGGCGATCCCCCCCCCCCCCCCTGCAGCCCACCTGCAGCCCCGCAGATAGGAAACGACAGCTACGCCAATAAGTGTTTATTTGGAATATAAATATTTCTATTTTTGTCCCGGAAGCCAGAACAGTAATATAATGAAAGGGATTAAAAGCAGTGTGCGGTCTGGTGATTACACCCTAATGCTCTCGGAGGTATAATGTCTTTCTTCTATTTCTCAAAGCTTAACTTTGTAAACTGACTTGAAACGATGAATCCTTTAAGGCTGAAAACATGTGTGTAACCAATAGAATTCTTTTGAAGCACATATATTACGAGGCTTCATGCAGTTGGGTTTTCAGAGCAGAAGTCGAAACATTGGATTACGAACTGCAGTCTGAAATACCAAGTTATTAAAAATGTCTCCCGAATGAAGGTAAATCTTACAGTCAAAAGGGAAAAACAGATGAAGATGAAGTCCTTCTAGTTGCTTCCAGCGTCCCTTTGTCCTCTTGGGGACTGGTATCGATGTCTGGGGGGGTCGCTGTGTGCGGTCAGTCAGTCAGCATTAATAAAGCGACCTGCAGGAGGAAAACAGACACCATCATCTCTCATTAAACATTTTTCCTTAATTATTAACTGTTTATCGCCCACGCAGACTCAACGCAGTATTGTTTCTGTTTTTACAATGACATTTTACATTGCTTGATTTAAATGCCTTTTCTTTACTTTTTTTTACTTTAAGTCCACAGTAGCATTGAGGAAATAAGTATGTAAGAACCCGATTATAGAAAAAAAACAACTTATGGCTAATGAGGCGTCTGTGTTTGATATCTTCTTTCAAAATCCACAGATCCAAACCTGGCGTTTTTTACCGTGGTTCCTCCCTCTGCACTGCGCTCGGTTCTTTCGGCAGAACGCCACGATGTCATTGAGATCCCACATGCGCGCGTGCAGCTCATTTGAACCCACGCACGCTGCTCCGCGTCGAAGCGAAGGCTGCTGACTGAAGGAACGACTTGAAAGCTCCGCGCGCCACTTCTTCCCCCATTCAGCCGGTGGCGCCGGTCAATCCCGTTCACTCCCGCACAGACTAAAAAGACATTTCAACATGGGGTTTTGCGTAGAGAAACTTACGGGAGCTAACAGGTTGTAGCAACACGGCCAAGGCCCAGCTCTGTTATCCGTCACTGCCCATGGAGCGGGGACCGTTCAACACGCTGACCCCGCATGCATAAAAAAAGCCATGCAAAATAACTTTTTATTTTTGCATGTAGAAATGCAAGGCGAGGTGGTCCAAGACCTGAAGCCGTTTTGGAGGAGAAGTGTAACAGTTTGAAGGGATCAAAAGCACAGAGACACCTGTTTGGGAGAAGATGGCTGCTGTTCAGAGCTCTTTTGCTTTTCACAGCGAGTGATGAAGAAGGGAAGGCTGACGTGTCGGACCCGGCTAAACCCCTGGAGACCTGCGTTGAAGCCCTCTCCCACCACCAGCTGATTACTCTTTGTTTAAAGCTCATCATTTCAGTTTCATGTTTTTTGAATGCATTTTAATTATGAGCTCCATAATGTTGGACAAATTCTCATTGTTGAATCATCACAATCGTCCTGTTCCATGTTTCTGCTCACTGGCCCTACTGCACATATCTCATCTATTCTCATCCTTGTGTTTCTCTGTATTTTGACCCTTGCACCATTATTTTTAAGGAGAGGTGTGTTGTTATCTATTTCTCATTGTAACACCACGCAGGATCAATATCTAATTCTGCCTCCTTTCATCAGAAGAGCTGTTCTTTAACGCGTCGCCCTCCGTGCTGATCTGGTACCGTTTGCTGCTTCCGTCCCATCACACCTCTTAACGCATTACTCTTGACTTTATGTACACGGACAGCTCAGAAAAAATGCCTCAGGTTGCGTAAACCCCGGTGATGGATGCGCTCCGTTCAAGTGAAACTTTGTAAAAACAACTTTAGAATTCAATACGTAGATCAAACTCTCCACAAACTACGCTGCATCCTATTCCATCTGTTCCGAATAAGGCGAGGGAAACATCTACGTTTCATATTGGCAGAATTCGTCCTTATCAAAGTAGCCAATGGGTCATAATGATAATAATAATAATTTGCAGATTTAGCCTGTTGCATTATCTGCATTGTCTTCATTGTTAATGAATTCTTAAAAGAAATCGACGTGTAAAAAATTGTATATTGCAAAATTGCACAAACGTGAATTCACATGAGGACTTTTGCCTTCCAGCTCTCTTCCCAAGCTTCAGTATTTGACCTCATCCAGCTTTTAAGTTATGAAGAAAAATAACGTCTCTGACTATCTCTTGAAATTTAAATGAGGAATCATTAATCGCCCCCCTGATGCTTCGGGTTCTTTAAAGTCCGCTCTTAACTTGGTAAACATGTGTTGAGATTATGTGCAAAACTGGCACAGATTTCCTTCTTAGATTTGGTAACTATTGGTTACTGGTTACTTCTTGTGTCCATTGAAATGAGGAATGCGACAGTTCTTTGAATGCAACATTACATGCTAAATGCAAATGACTCAAAATGGTTAATTGCTCTTAATTAACTGATAGTTAAATAGTTAATATTCCAGCTGAGAGGCACACTGGTCATTAGACGGTCTGA